TCTTTCTATTTTAACGTAGTAAGGGACAAAGACGAAAAATTTGTAGAAAAGTGCTAGAGAGAGAAAGAGAGAAAGAAAGAGAAAAAGAGACCGATATATATATATATAAATTTACATTGCATAGATTTAACGTGAAAGTAATACCGCCTTAAAAATATAACAATCTTCTCTCGGCTATGTTTTATTTCAAATAATATAATCCTGAGCGTACAAGTTACGTAGAAATTGAACGAGTCTCGTTGCAACAGGTTTATCGGGGTTACAATCGAAACGATTCGTAGGGAGAGATATATATATATATATATATTTATGTATATATTTATATATATACATATATGTATATATATACATATATATTATATATATATTTATGTATGTGCGTACGCGTGCTTCGTCGAGATTATTTTACACGGGAGAGGGGCAAGCGAAATGAAACTAAAAAATAAAAAATAAAAAATATATAAAAAAAAAAAAAACATAAAAAAGGAATAAAATAAAAAGAACAAAAAGAGCGTAGAACAAAATATGGAAGGGAAAAGATACATACATACACACGCATACAGATACAAACGCGCACGCAAACATAGAAACATAGACACAGAATGATACGTTATCGAAGAGTGAAAAGTGGAATAGTTTTGGAGTCACGCGATGAGCTAAACTAAAGTGAGATTAAAAGGTTTAAAAGGCAACGGATGAAGGGGGCGAAAAGGGTTGAAACGAGTTATATAGGGGTATTCCAATCGAATTGAATTCTTCAACTTTTTGTATTACGTTTCTTTCTAATTATTTTCTTTTTTTTCCTTTTTTTTTCCTTTCCTTTTTTTTCATTTTTTTTTTGTTTTTTTTGTTATTCATTTTCTATCAAATATACAATATACGCAATATACGTGCAATAACGTTACATATTATTAAATAATTTTGATATACTTGGCCAAGAGGAGATGGGTAGGGGGGTCGGTGGGAGGGAAAAAGAAAAGAAGAAAACAACGAGAAAGAACAAAAAGAGGCGGGGAAAAAATGTATGACGTTTAATATCTTTCTCTCTCATATATTTCATACGGAAGAATATCTTATATATGTAGAAATAGAATATTATTTTATATGAAATAACCTGAATAGCCAGCCATCTTTATATATAGATATATATATATAGAAAGAGAGAGAGAGAGAGAGAGAGAGAGAGAGAGAGAGAAGGGGAGAGAGAGAATTTGTAAACGATAAAAAACGGAAAGTAGAAAGAAATAAAAAAAAAAAAAAATATGATTTTTCTAATAGAAAGTAGCGGTCATGTCGAAGATTAGAAGTCTACGAAACAATATCTACGTAGCAACTTTCTCTCTCTCTCTCTCTCTCTCCCTCCTATGTCCACCCTTTTTTTCTTGCCCCTTCTTCCGCCCTCTCCCACCTTACATCCCCGTCCTCCTCACTATCAGTTTATACCTTCTTGGTGTAAAACAACAGTTTCCTTCGTATTAGTTATCGTTTATCAGAGTGCCCGGAGAAAATCAGGAAAGGCTCGTGCGGCGCGCCGCTATAGGGGGGGAATTGGCTGAGCCATCTGTTGCCAGACATGATCGATAAAAGTCCGCCAAGTGTTATCAGTGCTAAACTGCTATTTCGACGAGCTGCCGCGCACGTTTTCTCTTAGCACTTCCCCCACCTATAACTCGAATATTCTCGGGGTTATCCTTTCGACGTATTCCACTTTCGTGTTTCATCATCTCTCTCTCTTTCTTTCTGTCTCTCTGTCTCTCTCTCTCTCTCTCTATCTATCTATCTATCTATCTATCTATCTACTATCTATCTCTCTTTCTCTTATTCTTTTATTTTCTTTCTCTCTCTTTCTCTTTCTCTTTTACCCATGCATAGACACATACACATATATGCATGCCTGCACGCATAGTAACGATTTACGTGGACATACACGAAAAGAATGAAATAGATAGATAGATAGAAAGAGAACGAGAGAGTGAGAGAGAGAGAGAGAGAGAGAGAGAGAGAAAGGGAGAGAAAGAAAATACGTAAAGCTACGCGATAAATTGAATCGGGATTCCTTGTCAAAGAGGAATTCCGACTCTTGCGTTCGTATTTGTGTGAATGTATGTATGTATGTATGTGTGTGTGTGTGTGTGTGTGTGTGTGTGTGCGGTGAAGCGGCGCATAAAACGTGCATTTGGCATTTGTGTTTTGTGTGAACAAGCTCACCAGCGGAAAAAATAATATTCGAGTATTCACGGACGACTTACTGTCTAGCAAGCAGTAGCCTATCTTCTTTCTCTCTTCTATATGCCCATATATACACACACACACACACACATACACATTCTCTCTCTCTCTCTTTCTCTCTCTCTATCTATCTATCTATCTATTTCTCTATCGTTTCATTAAATATGTTATATTATCACGTACGTTCTCTCTGATTTAACGTTTATACTCCCACGCAATAATAATAATAATAATAATAATAATAATAATAATATTAATGTGACTAAACATTTTCTTTTTATTCTTTTTTTCTTTCCTGTTTCTTTTTTGTTTTTTTTTTGTTTTTTCTTTTTTTTTTGGTTTTTTCGTTTCTTTGTTTCTTTGTTTTCTCTCTCCACGCAATTGACAGATATGGAACTTCCAAAACATACGAAAAAAATTGGTGATCGTCGTGGAGGGGAGGAGGATATGAACGAGTTCATGAACCCAAGGGATCATAGCCTGAATCGGATTTATCAGGGCTCGCTTAGGGAAGCTGGCTCAACCTCGGACCCGTCCGCCATCGGAGGAGATGATTCTGCCTCGTCTACCTCAACCCTTACAGAAAGATGCAGTTTCATATTCTTTTGGATCTTCCTTCATATCGCAACAAATCGACTGTTTGCCGTTTAACGAAATAAATCGAATATCAATCATATAAGGGGTGTACAAGGATTATAGATTAGAGTTAATTCGGTCATATTTTTAATCCGAATTAAACGATGAACTCTTGTGCGTGTCCAGTGTGTTAGTGTGTGTGTGTGTGCGCGCGCGCGCGCGTGTGTGTTCGTGTGAGTGCATGCGTGTATATGTGTTTGCGTGTATGTGCGTGTGTGTGCGTGTGTGTGTGTATATGTGTGACAATTACTTCGATGGACGACGACGTTCGATCGTTTATAATCTCCGAGAAATCACGAACTTTTTTCTTCTCTTTTTCTTTTATTTTCTCTCTCTCTCTCTCTCTCTCTCTCTCTCTCTCTTTTTTTTTTCCTTCTTTTCTTTTTTCTATTTATTTAGTAATGATTATCGAACGATTCGATCACTTATTTATCTCATCGCGATTATGAAATTACGAAGAAATTACCGCAGACTTTATTGATATTCATATTCAATTAAATTGATATTATATCTGGTGGGAGGGAGAGAGAGAGAGAGAGAGATATATATAGAGAGAAATGTCGATTAAATCGCGGTCGTGTGTAAATTAAATATTTTATCAATATTGTCACTATTTCTCTGTCTCTTTCTCTCTTTCTATCTGCCTATCCATCTCTCTCGTTATCAATGTTTCATCGATCAATAATTTGTATTCTTTATTTGTAACTTAATCGTTGTTTCATTTATTATTGAAGGCCATTCATTATTTAAAATCATAATCATTAATCTACTCCTTCGAATGTAATCCGTTTTTATTATATTAGAAATGAAATCGAAAAGAAAACTCATCGTAATTAATATTCAAGGTAAATCGATTGATTTTATTGAGTTCTCGACGTTACTAATCCCATTTTTTTTCTCAGGCTTAGAAAATGAAGAAACGACCAAATCGTGGGTCTCTTCATCGGTCAGGTACGTTAACTTTCTATAAAAAAGTTTTAATTTTCATAATTAAAAGCAAATATATTATATCCGAATAAAATAAATTATTGAACTCCTCTCTCTCTTCGTCTCTCTCTCTTTCTCTCTCTTTTTCTCTTTCTCTCTCTCTCTCGTCCTATCGGAGATTTATAATAAAATTTACATATACCCTTTTCTCGAATTTAAACGTTGAATTGATTATCTGACGATGTAAATTGGGGGGGGGGGGAGGGAAAGAAATAAAAAAATAAAAAAAGATTAAAACGAAACGGAACGAAAAAATAGATAGGTAGATATATATATATATATATATATATATATATATATATATATAAATAGATAGATAGATAGATAGATAGATAGATAGATAGATAGAAAAGCAAGAAGTAAAAGGAAGAGAAAAAAAAAAAAGAAAAAGGAAAATATCGAATTAAAACGTAAGTGGATAAGGGAGTATGGAATGACGGATGGTGTTAAAATAAGGATAAGAAAAATGAATGAAGAAAAAGAGAAAAGAAGAAGAAGAAGAGAGAGAGAAAAAAAAAGAATTAGAAAAAGAAAAGAAAAGAATAGAAAAGAAAAGAAAAGGAAAGAAAAGGTAAGGTCGAAGGTAACGCTAGAGTGTCTCGATGGAAAAATAACGCTCGTCGGGCTTACGCCCGCTGCGGATAGCAGTTTTATTTTCACATAAAAGTGGAAAAATTTCTCGCGGGAGGAAACGAAGCGTAGAACATAGCCCGGGCCCGGATTGATTGTTTTACTACGTGCGCCCCTCGAAATGAACCGCGGGACCGAGTTTGCCGACGGCGGCGGCTCTCTGTTCTTGAAGTCGAGCACAATTTCGTGGTACTTTAAGATAAATTCTTACGAGAAAAAGAGAAAGAGAAAGAGAAAGACAGAGAGAGAGAGAGAAAGAGAGAGAGAGAGAGAGAGAGAGAAAGAAAGAGAGAAAGTATAAACGAGACGAGGGAAAACTGTACTCACCCTTTCCCCCCTCTTCTCCTCTATCTCCACTTCCACCTCCTCCTCTTATTTCCTCTTCCTCCAACCTTGTTTTTTTTTTTTTTTTTTTTTTTTTTTACGGTAAGACATTTCTTTTCCTATCAAAAAGTATCGTTCCAAGTAGTGCCTCGAATTACCAACGGGTTACGTTCCTTATCGATCCTTGTGTTCGT